ATCTTGCGCAGATCGATGCTCATGCTGTTGATCACTGGATTGTCTGGTCTAGACTCGATTATTAACAGGCCTCCACCATATAGCTGGAATATTGCTGAGTGCGGCGTAAAACTAAACTCACCCACTCACTCATTTAATTGTAAAGTACGTACTTGACACTTTAATATGCATTTTCTCTCCATAACGAAAGAAACGTTTTGTTTTAAATGCAAAGCATTAAGTGTTTATTTTGTCTGTTGCTTAACGGTGTAATTCCAGCTATTAGGCGGCCGAAACATTAAGCGCCTACTTTGGTTGACAACTCAAAGATATTCCCACGGCAGATAATATATATATGAACAGTATGCTTGTACTATAACGTTTATAAAAATATGCAGGTCTCCGTTTTAGCAATATCTAAAATGGTGTTCACATAAGACGTACACATAACATGGTACTATAAGCATCGATCTTCGCAAGTAGGATACGATCGCATGCATCAAAAGTGGGAACATATAAGTTCCGGGACACATACTTTGTGTGCTGGCAATTAGGTGACTGACTCTGAAGGTGTGGGTTCGAATCCTGGATGGGACTCAACCCAACAAAAGTACTAGAATATGTACCTTACTGAGAAAGCGTTATCCCAAATATAACACGTGTTACATTTGACCACTTTCTAAATGGCATTATGTTTGAACACGAATTGTAATTTCAAATGAATAACAAAATTTAAGCAAACGTTTCATGACCCAAATTCTGTCTGGAGACTTTTTCTTCTACTCACAGACAGACAGATATTTTATTAAGTCTCACCTCGTACATTGAAACATATATACAGTATATTAAAAGAAATTAACGAGCCATCCATTTAAGGTTATGAGAGACTGTAAAAAGCTATGTGGGCACACAACGTCTTTATACACAAATACAGGTGTGACCACAGCAAGTATTGGAGACAATCAAACGCTCATGCACGTGCCAGGCGACGTGACGTCATTGATAGTGGCCTATGGACTTGCAATGTGTTACTGCACGTGCAGCACGTGCAGCTGCAAACAACATGTGAAACTCATAAATTGCTGTCACTGTCGAAAGCTTGATCTTTGGTCAATCAAACGTTCACAAATTCACATGAAAAGTCACGTGCACAACATGATATCTGCATTGGTCCGGCGTTATCGAAACACTAATGACGTCGCCGACCACTCACGTTCTGGGCGTCCCCGAGTAACGTCGCCAAGACAGGACAGATGGATTCGGGTGATTCATCTCAGACACAGGTTCGAGACGGCAGTGACCACGTCGCAGACCATTCCAGGACTGCGCCGTATCCATCCCAAGACCGTCAGCAATCGCTTACGTCAGTATGGGATTCGACCACGACGCACAGCCATACGACCCGTTGTGAAACCGCCAAAGATGGTGTCGAAATCATGTTCGCCAACCTCGAATATGCTGGAGGAATGTTATGTTTACTGATGAACAGGTTCAACATTTCCCATAGTGACGGGCGCCAACGTGTCTACCGGTGTTTAAGGGAACGTTATGCACGCAACTGTATCATGGAGAGGAATCGTTTTGAAGGTGGCTCTGTCATGATTTGGGGTGGGATAACTCCACGCCGCAGAACCACTCTAGTAATTGTTCAGGGCAATCCCACCGGTGTTGGTTGCAGGGATCAGATTCTGATCATGAGGCCTGTGGCAGTTCCATATCTGCAACGTACTGGACCAGGATTGACATTTCAACAAGACAACGCTCGTCCTCACACGGCTAGGATTGCAATGGATTCTCCACCATAACAATGTCATGTTACTGCCCCGACCTGCAAATTCACCGGGTATCACCCCAACAGAGCACGTGTGGGGTGAAATGCAGCGCCGTTTGGGCTGTCTGTCCACATCCTTCAGATAAAGGTTGTGACTTGGCACGAGATTTGGAGTGGATATGGCAGGCCATTCCCTATCGCCACGAGCGACACGTGACATCAAATTCCGTTGAAAGTGCTTTGCTGCATGTTTATTTAGGGTTATTTTTACAACTTTTCAAATAACTTTTATTGTATGCAATTTTATGTTATGCACAGTTACTTTTTCCGTAGGTATATCTGCAGGATGGACAAAATTACGTCCATTCGCATGCAGTCAAGACATGCAACTCACTACAAACCTGGTTCCCGATCCATAACGCGTTCGTAACGGTTATGTTTGTCATAGGCTTATGGATGACTTAATGCTACGAATGGTTTGCAGATGGGAACCCTGGGCCCCGTTCCACAAAACGATCGTAGCGCTAAGATGAGAATACTTTAACATAGACTTACGACTGTCGTAGCGCTACGATCTCTTTGAGGAACGGGGCTCTGGTTAACAAACGCCCTTCCATAACTCTATACTACATTATTGGCTTACAAATTACCTAATGCTGCTAGCGCTTTGATGATTGGGCTCTAAATTTTAATAACCTTGAGCAACAGGTGGTCTCGTAGATTAAGAGATCTGCAACTAATTCCAGTGCAATAGATTTAATTCGCGACGAATGTCATAAATGGTGAAACATTTATTGATCTCTATTTATCTTTGTCAAATAGAATCAGTCCAGGATCCAGACAAGATTTAATCCGTCATTATTATTGACTGGTTAGGACAACATATGTGACCTGCTAATTGAAATGTGAATGCACATGTCTTCAACAGACATAACATAACCAGTTGCAATATTTAATCAATTAGACTGTACATTTCATACACTAATAATCCATCGTCCTCGCGTACTTCCCTAGTCCCAGCATCTGGATGACGTAGGTGTAGGCGTCCGAGGACCGAGGACTCGGCGGTGGCGTTATAGCCAGGAAAGACGGTGGGTGTGTGGTAGCGACTCCAGATATGCTTCATCTTTTCTTGGTATTCCTCTTCTGGTATGACGTCTTCAACTCCCATAATGACATGACCATTGGCATGAAGAGTGGTGTTGACTCTTGTGCCGTTGAACAGTTCCAGTCGGTTCATCGGATACAGATATATGTCCGTCTGCAATTGCGATAAACTATTTATTTACAATCTCTGAGACATATAACATCCACACTCCATGTGAGTCCGGGTTTGAATTTGACCCAAGGAATCAAACCCTGTAAAACGTGACCTTGATCTAAAGGTCAAGCTCGATGACTGGTGAAAACTCAGCATTGTACATTTTTTGGAAATTTCTCTAGCAATCACATGATTGTTTGGCCCAGATTCTATCATTTATAGGATGCTGACATTTAGCAAAAATAGTGATGAATGCGCTGTAAAACAAACAAATAAGTACTGTACTCGACTAACGCATGTGATATAACCTGGAAACTATACAACATGTCCTTAACTGATAACACTATTCACCCCCATGTCACATTAGAATATAACATTTACTTTATATGTAGCAGAATGTAAGGAATATCCATCCAGTATCAACAGGTAATGTGTATTGTCGCCGACTCTTTGTGAAACAGTTTAGAACAGAACGTACATTTCCACAAACACAATACATGTATTTTTAATATTTATCAGCTGATTAAACATTTGAGACACAAATATTCCATGAACAGTGGTATATTTAATCCACATACCAATAAACCTGTTTGCATAACCCCGAACTGTTATTGGTAAATGGACATGTTAAGCTTCTTGTACACGAGCGGCCCAGTGGCCTGAGACGCCAGGCTATGCAGAGTTGCGTCCCTTGGACAAGAGAGGCCGAGACATCTGACACCAAAGAACATCATTTGGTTCCTTCCTCCCACATTTAGCTGACATGCCGCGATATCATTGGAGTACTGCTCAGATCCACGTTGAATTAAGATTAACTTATTTGTTTGAGTTATATCAATGTTAGCATAAGTTTGACAAGTGGTACGTCTCTGTAGCAATGGGGAGACTCACGTTGCCCTACGTTGTGAGGATGTTGTGTGAAATAGCTGGATTTAAGGCATTTTACGAATCATACTCCTCGTGCAACGACAGCCACGTGTCATTATGAGGTTGGAAATATTTGAACAGCTGATCACCGACAGAATAGGACATAGATCCTCTACAATCAGGGAGTAAGCAAACCTCATTCTTATATTGTTTCAATGGGTTTTCTATTTTCTAACTTATCATTATGCTCTTTTTATTAAGCAGAAATGTTTTATGCAAATAAACAATCGGGTTCATTGATATTAGTTGGAAAACACAAATGATTAAAAACATGGCCCGATTTCAGTTATAAGTGTATGTAAATATCTTCAAATCTTGACATCTTCGACGTCAACCACAGTAATGGTCGAATTAAAAGAAATGTTGTCACCTTAACAACCTGTATTTTGCTTTCTCAGACACCTATATCGTTCATGCTTCCTGTACATTTATATTGGAAATATTTCTGATGTGTTATTTAAAAGGTAAAAAAGAACAAGAGATCACTTGTTGAAATTAGTTGATGGTTTAGTATAATGCCAACGTTTAGCAACGCCTGCAACCTCTTCTGAGACATCACACTCTTCCCACCAGGAAATCACTTGCCCTGCCTCGCCTGATCCAGAGACTTCTCAATATTAATCACGGCTGAATGGGCGATTGTAGTTTTACGCCTGTATTAACAATATTCCAGCAGTATCACGGCGGAGGACACCAGCAATAGGCTTCACACATTTACCATAGTAGTGAATCGAACCTGGGTCTTCCAGGATACCCCACCGCCCTTTCACGGTTGAAAGAAAAGAACACAAATGTTCTTTCAAAACGTAGAGAGATATATAGTTCTGAATTATGTTTTGATGTTTTTGAGTTCAATATATTATTAGACCAAGATTATGTGTAAACATCCTTTCAGTAGGGCTTCAGCAAGTGGTAGCAGTATTTCCGCCAATTTATTAGACCTTACGACAAATGGTGCTCTGCTGAGTACAAATGTCGCCCGGCTACGAAGTACCAACACCCTACTAAACAACTAGGAACTATATAATTGGCTTGTAATCATTTCAAAATGTATACGTACTGTAACTCCCTTGTAGGAGCCGGAGAAAAAAGCATTCCACGGTTCGAACCCAGCAAACAAACCGAAATAATACAACCAGGTGACGATTCTGTCAACTGTAGTCTTTACATCAGCGGGTGTATCTATGTATAATGAAAAACATATGAGAATCTAATATATATAACAGATAGCGCCATCCTTTTATCCTTTTATTCCTTTATTACTTCCTTTCTTATGTACTACGTTTCATCCATTCTCATTATTTGAGATTCTTCCTAAATGTATCTGGTTACAATGTGGATCTTTGTATTGGAATAGTTTGGGTCCTCGTAAATAGAACATCTCGGAAATATACTGTCCGTATCTACTGCTCACCTACTGATTAACATGGCGCAGTTATGCCCCTTGGTGTTCACGCGTGTGTGAGCTAGCATTAGAACTTACATCCATGATCAAGATTGGCCACACAAGATCTACTCATGAATACCTCCTGAAAGGTGAGGATCCTCCGTTTTGAATGCCTTGTGATGAAAGAATCACGGTCAAGCATGTCATGCTTGATGTGCTGAATATTCGATAACAAGGTATAACTATTTCAAATCACAAACTATGGCGGATCTTTTTAATAATATAAGTTCTCATTTAATTATTACATTTTTAAAAGAATTAGATTTGTTAAATGATTTGTAAATATATAAATATTTTATTATTGGTAATTTAGATAAGTAAAGTGACCTGGTAACTCATCCCAGTTCATCGCGGCTGCCATTTGAAATGAGCGAAAACCATAAGATTTCAACTCCCATTTTAAATCTATCCAACCTTTTAAATCGTAGAATATGTGTTTTTTCAATGTATGGCTAAATGTGTCTAAACTGCTAACGACTGAAGGGATGGTGTAAATCCAGCTAGGGTCCATGCAGGAAGCAAATGTACTGTAAGTCCCCATTGTCCCTAGCATGGTGATCTACATTCTGTTTTTGGCAATCTATAGCCTGTTTTTATATTGTATTGTCCAAAAAGTGTTATTAGTTTTAATTTTCCACGCTAGTTTTAATTCTAATATTGATATTCTAGTTGTTTTACTGTCCTTCGTCGACAAGTGTTTTAATAATATACATATACTAGTATTCCATTTCAATGTCAAATATGTTCTCGTCCCGATATGGCTGAAATATTGCCGATGTGACGTTAAATATTAACTCACTCACTCACTAACTCATGCGTGTGTGACCTGTCATCGTTTGACACAATAGAGGTAAGTAGATTTAGAGCAAACCCTTTTCATATTGAAAGTGCAACGCCATACATAAGTATGCAGCTACATTTCATATTTCGGTACAAAGCCGAGATATTTACTGTTTTAATGCATAACAAATTAAGACTGAACAGGGTCTATTTTTCAATCCGCCTAAGTATTTGCACTTGATTTTACACCGTCGCTAAGACATATAACGTTCTAGATATCTGTGAAATGTTAAAGGCGAAGGTAGATTAAGTGTCACGCGAGCGCAATTCTTACTCAACGTTCTTCAGGTCTTACAACAAATGTGCTGTCAGAAAGAAATCTCGGTATCCAGGGTGTTAGGGAAACGTATGAGTCTCTACCTTTATCCCAGATGACCCTCTCCGTGTTCTGGTCTTGTGTTGTCCAGGTGGTCAGTAGGGCGTTCAGGGCCATGGAGGTCGTGTATATACGGTCCTCTGCGTTGTTCTGCAAAACATAGTTGTGTAATGTTCAGAAGTAGATGTTATAAAGTGCTAACCTGCGTTTACCGAGGTAGCTTTCTGAGAACCTGATGTCAGTAATTTTATCCTAATTCACAGACATGTTCTATTTACTATTCAATATGGCCCTCAACGAAGATGTACCAGTTGGAAAATGCTGAATCCATATGTAAAACAAAAATGAAGTTGCTGATCACTTCATTTTTATTATAGTGAGTGAGTGAGTTTAGCAATATTCCAGCAAAATCACAGCGTAGGACACCAGAATTGGGCTTCACACATTGTACCCATGTGGGGGATGGAGCCCGGGTCTACGACATGACTAGCAAACGCTTTAACCACTAGGCTACCCCACCGCCTCCATTCATATTATAGGAGCGACAGTATAGCCAAGAGGTTATGGAGCCCGTCAATGCGAAGGCGTTCTTTGATTTTCAATTGTATATTTTCACCCAGATGTTGCTTGAACGCTACAATAAGTGATGTAAAAGAAAACTCTTTCAATACTTCATTATAACTCCTTATAAAAACGCATAAACTTACCACACTTTGATTTTCATATGTTTTGTCTGCATTGCCAATGAAGTCGTCATAGTAGATGACGTCATAGCCGTCATGAGAACCTGAGTGGCCTTGAGCCACAACCCTGGGGCTAGCGTATGTTCTCAGTACACGCTTGAAGTCCACAAGCACCTGTTCAATTCCCTACAACAGAGGCGCTTCGTGATATCGTCGCAGGTCGTGCGTTCATCTACTTCCAGAACCTATATATTGCGTTGTATGTATCGTACAACCTTTGTCTGGAATTCTTTTTTCAAATCTTAATACAGCTTGCTTGCATAGAGGTTTTCATCAACATGATTGCAATCTTGACCAATCAAAGAGAATATCAGCCAAAGTCTGTAAACCTCTGATATATATATATATATATATATATATATATATATTTTCCAACCAACAGGCAGTCAGGGTTGGAATTGCTCTCTACATTTTCCTGATTTTCGTGTAGTTATGTCTTTCACAAGTTCATCATATTTACATGCTGTGTTGATGGACATATATGACAAATGATTTCTAATTTGATAATAAATTATCTGGAGACTGGTATTTTTCGCCACTTTGAGCAGCATAAGTCCATGTGTATAAGGTCTTTACAGATGCTTTTGGAAGTGATTCCGAAGTGATGAGGTGATGATCTTTACGAAACCCACAAACACATGGATGCTTCTGAATGTAAGGCATATTGACAAAGTAGATTTTCAAACTCACGATCATCGGTTTTGTGGCATATAAAAAGCGAATTGTGGCATTTTGAGCGACTTGTTAACACATGCACTTCAACCGCGATAGGTCATCCCAGCGATTTGGACAATACCCAGGCCTACGAGTGAGTGAATTTAGTTTTATGTCGCTTTTAACAACATTGACTGACCATTATTTCGGGATCGTCCAACAGCGATGGTTGAAAGAGCCCATTAATGATTCCATTGGTGACATCAAATATGAAGTTGGCACACACAGTGACGTCAATGTTGTTGACGTTAAACGGCACGATGACTCCCTTGTCGAACCAAATCCGTACGTCATCAGTGTCCTGGATCTGTGTGCAGTGATATAAACTTCAACAAAAAGAAACTAAATACATAACATCAATACCAGAATGCATAAATTGTGACTCGAACTTTGCTGAACATGAGAATTTAGCGATTGCTCCAGACTGTCATTGTGGACTAGGATTTGCAGGAATGCATGATATTATGGATGCTTCACACGATTCTTGGTGTACGTCGTACGTGCATCAGTATGCTGTACATATGCCACGGCTACGATAGTTCATGCACACATGCAGCACGTACTATAGACCAAATCAGAGACTATAAACAAGGGGAATTCACAGGACACCTACAGTACAGGCTGATTCATATGGCAGCTGTGTTTGGGCGATTTAGATGGGATTCGCGTGTTTTGAAATGCCCATGAATGAATTTGTAAACTGACCATGTATTTTAATATTTAGTGCTGTCTTCTATACCACAATCTGAATGTGATCGCATATATACCGTATATTTTCAAACGGGTGACATTCGTGCGGAGCTGGGTTTGGTGTGTTTAGCTTCCAGCATAACGCGTCTCATATCCCTGATATACTACTGAGGAATACGCTACGGCCCTCATGTTAGTGTCTCTCTGAGGCCACCATATGCATGTCCCACGACCCGCTATCAGTCCCTGATAAGTTCCACAGTAAAGTGTCAACATTTCTCACCTGAATAATACTCCTACATGTACAATAGCATTAACAACACTGGTGAACGCCTTTAACGTAACACAACGTGACTCCTTGTTCCAAATATGTTTTAGAAAGAAGACTTTAATAATAACATTTCTAATATGATATCGATGTTACCAGTCTACGCCCTTCTCACAGCCATGAATACATACCCATGTCGGCACTAAGGCTACATCGTGTCCGGCCTGTTTCTCCTGCTGCAACCACTGTCGCAAGTAGTAGTACGTCCTAGGGTCGATGGTGTTTACCCTTTGGTTCCCAGAGAACGGCCTGCACATTCAGGGGAACTGCTATCAAGACTTTGAATACGTGCATGGTGGTAATTTATTCATATCGATTGTCGGCAAGCTGATATCACTCTGTTTTTGTCAGTGTGCATTTGCGTAGAATAGAAGGTTCATGATGTGAATATAGTTTGGTCATTTACAGGTTCATTATTTGTATTAAGCAGGTAAACGTTTCCACCAGTTAATTCGCAATATATAAATGGACATTACGAATAACTGTGCCGTAATTATAACTGTTGACTAACAGGGAAGCAACACATAACATCTTTTAACATATTTTATTATGACCAGACACGGACATTAAACCCCCATCTTCCACGGCATGAGCTGTCGCTTTGTCCACACAAGCAAGGAGTCACTTATTAGGTGCGTAAAAGTATTAACCCTAGCATACTGACCTGTAGGCGTAGTGCTTGAGGGCGTCGAACACAGATTGGTGTTGTGGCCTCTCCACATCGTAGGTCGGGAACAGGTGGGACATCTCTGACAAGATGGAACCAAGACCAATGTTCAGGAAGCTGTCATCGAAGTCCGGGGGGATGTGAAACGCCTGTGTGTAACCGCGTCTGTATCACACAGTACAGGAATACAAAATTATGTTACGCTTACAGAAGGCAAGGCAGTGCTTCTGTGACTCATGGAGAGCAAACGACAGACTACTGTTTGCGAGGAATAACTTTGTGGGTTCGGTTAAAAATCCGCTTTGAACAGTACTTTGACTTTTTGATCTGTCCGGCTTACTGAGTAAAGTACTCCCAGAATGACAGGCACCGTAGATGTGCATCTCTAAAGTGATTGAGTTGGTTTACAACGGATGCTTCAACAAGGAGCACAGTTAACGTTAAACATGCCTCAGACATGGACCACTTCGTTGAAACTATTGGGTAGGTGCATGTAGCTAACAAACACAGAAACATAATCAAGGTGAATCTTAGATTCAAACCCAGTACATCTGACCGGTCGATTACAAATACCTTTCGCAAGAACTGACTACCCGTGCTCCACCATGCCACTGTACACTGCTGAAGAACATGTCAATTGTTTTCTGGAGAGACACTGGTCTGTACAGAACGTATTATTGTCCACTCACTGGTCTACTGCAGCACCCTAACTATAGTCCGTTTGGCTCAAAAGCGGACCGATGAATTGCAATCTAAGTTGCTTTACTGTCCTTCGTCGGCAGGTTTTTTATAATATACATATATTTCATTTCAGTATCAAATGTTCTCGTCAAGATATGGCTGAAATACTGCCGATGTGACGTTATATATTAACTCACTCACTCACTCACTACGAGGGAGGAGTGCAGAGAAATGGACAGCCAGGTGTTAGAGAAGCACGTGCACAAGTGCCGACAAAGTTATTGATTCATTAACCTGTGCTGTGCCGTCACCATCCTTTCTCGCACACCTGGCTGTCCCTTTCTCTGCACTTTTTTATTTTTAGGACATAAATTCTGCAAAAACCTCACAGAGTTGGTCTGACGATTTGATTACGATCAGTATTTCATTGAGTATTTTATGTTTATTAGTTTTCTAGTTAGATTGCAATTCATCAGTCCGCTTTTGAGCCAAACGGACTATAGTTTCTATACAATTGACAAAAGGGATTGCCCGACTTACCATCAAACTTTAATAACAATTTACTTAGTGTTATGATCGAAAACATTAATACAGACCTGATTTCCATTAAAGCCTTGATGATCCCCTCGATATTTTTTAGACCCAGTTTTTCGAGAAACGCATACGTTGCATTCAGTGGCATGGCGTCAGTCATTTTGATGAGGTCATTGAGGTTGACTGGGTAACTGTTGTAAGCTCCAAGAGTCTCTTTGTATGTCTGAGGCCAGAAGGTCATCAGTGAGTTGGAATAGTTCACGTTCATATCATGATGGTTTTTAATGGCATTTAAACCATTGGTCATGTCTTCATGTGTCGGTCCATACGTGGTGCTGTTGATATACCGCCGTCCTTCAATCAGGCAAGCCATAATGTAGGTGGTCGCGAACATATTATTGTCGAATATCCCGAAAAGGTCTCTGAATAATACATTTTCTGGGTAACCGTGGAAGTTTAGCTTGACATCACTTGGCCACATCCATTGTTTTTCATCCCATCTGAATGGAGGAAAGAAGTGCCTTGTTTTCGGTACTTGAAGTTCCATAACCTGCAACGTCAATGTGTCAATCGCCATTTGCAGCGACTGTAGGTCAAATGGAAGCTATACAGCACCAAATATGTGTCTCGTGTTGACAGTCCGTGGCAAGACTAACTGAATGTCAAGGCCCACCAACAACGTAAAATGTTGTTCATAACCTCAACCTCTAGTTTTACACAGCCAACTGTGCAACTGTGACAATCTTAGACTAACTGCGTATTCACGGAACAAATAGATTGCATTGTTTGAAGCAATCAAGAGAAAATAGCATACCACCTAGTAGACCGTTGGGGTCAATACAGTACATGTATATGCACTTACTATCAAATTGTATGTTTAATCATCACGCTCGAGCCAGTCTAAGGTCAAAGTTCGTTATGGATAAAGACCGCTTGAACATGGGAATAACTCAGTCTTCATCATTGTTATTTTTGAAATCTAAAATGAAATAAAAAAAATGTGAGTGGAATATACATTTTAGCTCACTCACCCTGTTCAGAATTGTTCATCCCGTTGTAAATATACTCGTTGACTGATTAACCAAAATGAACGTGTCTTATATTTCAGATCTCAACCTATATCCCACTTGGGGCGGTTGGATAGCATAGTGGTTTAACCGTCCGCTCGTCACGCCGAAGGCCCGGATTCAATTTCAAACATGGGTACAATGTGAGAAAACCATTTTTGGCAACCCCGCCGTGATATTGCTGGAATATTGCTAAAATCGGCGTAAAACCATACTCACTCTCTCACTCACTATATCCCACTTGACCCATTAGTGCATGTTCCTTGTAACATGATTCACGACCCAGACATCACAATTTATTGATGACCTAAGCAGCTACAGCCATGACCAAAAACCTGCCCTTTTTAGAGATAAACATATGCGCACCTGTTCCTTGTTCACATCGGCTTTCGTGTGTCATACATTATATATTCCCAAAAAACTATCGTT